GGCCGGGCGGTGGGAACCGGGGGGCACCGGTGTCACCGGTCACGGTGTGTGTCCCCCCCTAAACAAAGCGGAGACGCGGAGGGGCCACCGGGACAGCCCGTGCAGAGAGCCCGGCGCCGGTGCGTTACCCCCCCCGCAGTGTTGAGGGTCCCGGTGGCACCGGGGGCTCGGGGTGGGGACGGGGCACAGCCGAGCCACGTCCCGGGGACGCGGTGGCACCGGTGGGTCGGGTCGGTGACCGCGGCGGGGTGGTCACCGCCCCGGTCGTGACAGCGGACCGGGGACCGCGCGGGGGACCCGCGCCCACCGGGAACCCCCGCACCCACCGGGAAACCCCACACCCCCTGGGAACCGGCACCCAAGGGGGAACCCCAGCCCTGGGGACCCCCGCAACCACGAGGACACCCCGCCCGCAGCCCCGCGCGCCGCCCCGACGGGACTTTCCCGGTTCACAAATTCCCCGGGCCTCAGGGGGCCCGCCGGTGGCACCGGGAGTGGCGTCACCCCCCGGGGCTGTCCCGGGCGGGGTTTTCCCCGCGGTCCCGCGGCCACTGCCCATCCCCGCGGGCACCGGCGCTCCCCGCCTGTTCCCTGTGGCTCCGGGCGCTGGTGGCGTCCCGCCGGTGCCCGGTGCCTTCCCGGTGGCCCGAGTGGGAGCATCGGGAGGGGTCCCGGGAAGGTCGGATCGAGGGGGCGCAGCGGGACCCGGAGGAGGCGCAGGGACGGAGTACGGGGGAAGCGCACCGCAAGGGTGCACCGGGAACCGGAGGAGCCCACCGATAACCGCGAGGGGGAACGGCGGGGGTCGGCCTCTTACCAGCACCAGCGCGAAGCGCTCCTCCAGCTCGCAGGGCTCTGGCATCGGCATCTTTCCCGGGGCGAACAGCCCAGGTCCCCCCGGGTGGGCTGCCGCCGTTCCGGGGCCCCGGGGCAGCGCCTCCCCGTCCGCGCTCTCCACGTTCCCCATCCCCGGCCCAGGCACCGGGGGGCGGCGGGGGAGGCTCAGCCCGTCGTGTCCGGCGCTGCCGCCGCCACCGCCTCCCGGTCCCGCCCCCCCCGCCCCTCCCGGTCCCGCCCGGTCCCTCCCGGTCCCGCCCGGTCCCGGTCCCGCCCCCGCCGCTGTCCGTCCCGGCGGCACCGCCAGAGGGCGCCTCCGGGCTCGGCCGCGCCACCGCGGGGGGGGGGGGGCGAGCGAAGGCCCCTGCAGCGAACGGGGCCCTCCCATTGGCCAGGCCCGCGCCCGCGGCAGCCAATCAGCACCGTGCTCGCGCACCGAGGCCCAACGGCGGCGCTCGGGCGCGGCCCGGGCGGTAACGGCGGCGCGCGGCGGGCCCCGCCCCCAGCGCCAGCGTAAGCCAATGGACCGAGGCGAAGGGTGGGACCAGCCGGAGGCTCAGCCAATGGGCGGCGGGGGGCGGGGCGCGGCGCTCGAGGCCTGGCACGGGCGGCGGACGCGGCGCAGGTGCGGGCGGGGGGCGCGGGCCGGGGGGGCCCGGATCGGGCCAGGGGGGCCAGAGAGGGGTCTGGGGGACCCCGAGGGGACTACGGAGCCAGGGGATCCCCCTAAAGCCCCCCTCTCAGGGCTATCCGGGGGTCCCGCCCCCCCCCCCGCCAGGCCCCGCGGTGGGGGGGGGGGGGGGTGGCACGCGCGGATCGGGCCCCGGGGGTGTCTCCGCCCGGTTTTACCGAGGGGGATTGGGAGGCATCGGGGCTGGGGGAGCGGGGGGAGGAGGGGAAGCGCCGGGGCTGGCTGCAGGAAGCCGTGGGTAAAGGTCGCTCGGGCCCGAGCGGGGGCGGTACCGGCGAAAGCGAAAGCGGCGCTGGGGCCGGGGGGGGCTCCGAGGGGAACCGGGGAAGGGGGGCCGGGATCTGGCCTCGAGTCCTCCTGCCACCCCGGGACCGGCACCCGGAGGGCCCTGCCTGATGGAACGAGCTGTCCCCGGCGGCCCCGGCCCCGGGGGGGGCTGTCACACCCCTGTCACACCTCCCCAGCCACCACAGCCCGGCGGGGACTGTCACCATGGCTGCACCTTCACCCCTGCCCCACTGCAGGGGGTGACCCGGGGGGTCCCCATGGCCTGGTGGCACCAGCCCCGTGGTGGCACCAGCCCCGTGGTGGCACCAGCCCGGTGTCACTGTCCCCGTGCCGGGGTGTAACCCCAGCACCTCTAGGCTGTGCCAGTGTGGCAGGATGAGACCCTCCCCACCTCCCCCAGATCCTCCCCTGTGCCGATGGGGGGGCTGGCTGGAACCCCCTCGTCCCACACCCCACCGAGCCCTTTTGGGTCCCGCGTGTCCCTCGGGGACAGGTGGCTCGTGCCACTGGCCGGGCAGGTCGGGCTCCCGCGGGTGCCAGAGGGGACAGAGCCGGCCGAGCCGGCCGGACGAGGAGGAGGAGGAGGAGGAGGAGGAGGAGGAGGAGTGGGAGGAAGAGGCCCTGCCGGGAGCCTCCTGCTGCCAGAGCCACCTCCGGGGACGTCATTACGGGCACTAATAGTCACCTGGCACAGCGACATTTCCAGCTGCCGGCAGCGCTCCCGCGGCACCGGGGCCTCCCCGGGGGCTCCCCTGGGCCTCGCAGAAACCCCCCCCGGAGAGTCCCCGGGGGCCGGCCCGGCCTTGCAACAGCCCCGCAACACCCGGAGGGTCCCCGGGGGCCTCGCAACAGCCGGCAGCGCTTGCACCAGCTGGGCCGGGGAGGCTCCACAGCCCGGGCAGATCCCAGCGCCTGCCGCTTGCTCTGCCGCTCCTGGGCTCCCACCCGGCTCCTGGGGGGACTGTGGGAGTGCTCTGGGCACCCCTGACCCCCCCTGTCCCCTCCCAGCTTGCACCCTGCGGAGCGGCCCTGGGCCCACCCCAGCCCGGCACCATGAACGTCTTCGATCGGAGCATCAACTTCGACGCCCTCTTCAAGTTCTCCCACATGTGAGTGTGACACCCCCTGGTAGGGTGGGGGGCTCGAGGGGAGGCTATACCACCCCTTCTGGCCCCCTCCTCACACCCCTTCCCCTCGCCCACAGCTCAGCCTCCACTCAGGAGCACCTGAAGAGGGTCTATGGCAGCTTCGCCCTCTGCATGTTCGTGGCGGCCGCGGGCGCCTACGTCAACATGGTGACCCACCTGTTCCAGGTGAGGGGCCTTGGGGGGCACCCTCAGCCCTGCACCCCCCGGGTGGGGCAATGCCCAGCCCTCACATGTCTCTCCCCCCCTCCCAGTTTGGGTTCCTGACCGGCCTGGGCGCGCTGGGACTGATGGTTTGGCTCACAGCCACCCCGCACAGCCGCGAGACCGAGCAGAAGAGGCTGGGGATGCTGGTTGCCTTCGCCTTCCTCACGGGTAGGTGGGCGCTGGGGACCCCCTCCTCGCATCCTGCGGGACCCCAGCCCCCAAAATACCCTCAGTGACACCCAGCTCTGTCCTTTCAGGCACCAACCTGGGGCCCCTCCTGCAAATGTGCATCTCTATCAACCCCAGGTAGGAGCGTGTGTGTCCCCATCACCCCCCGGGCGCTGTTCCCACCCCAAGCTGTCTCTTTGACCCCTTTGACCCCCCTCTCCTCCCCCCCAGCATCATCCCCACCGCCTTCCTGGGCACTGCCACCATCTTCGCCTGCTTCTCGCTGAGCGCCCTGTACGCCCGGCGCCGCAGCTACCTCTACCTGGGAGGTGAGAGAGGCTCTGGGGGGCACTCTCAGGGGTGCTGGGGGCTCCCCTGCGTGGGCAGGGGCCAGGCCTCACTCCCTGCCCTCTCTCCCTGCAGGTTTCCTGCTCTCCGGGCTCTCCCTGCTCCTCCTCTCCTCCCTGGTTAACGCCTTCGTGAGATCCACCTGGGTCTTCACGGTGAGTCCCCAACCACCTGCTGGGACCACACTGAGGACGGACAGACAGACAGACAGGCAGGTGACCCCAGCAGGGGACTGCCCTCACCTCATGTCCCCTCTCCTCCCCACAGGCCAACCTGTACGTGGCTCTGATGATCATGTGCGGCTTCGTGCTCTTCGACACGCAGCTCATCATCGAGAAGGCGGAGAGCGGGGACAAGGATTACATCTGGTGGGTGCTGGGGACACGAGGGTGGGGGACACAGGGCACAACGTGGCCCCCCCTTGAGCATCCCTTTCTCCCTCCCTCCCTCCCTCCCACAGGCACTGCGTGGATCTCTTCCTCGACTTCGTCAACATCTTCCGGGAGCTCCTGATGATCCTGGGCATGTCCGAGGTGGGTGAGGGGCCCTGGGCAGGGTGGGGGGACGGAGCTGCCCTGCGGGGTTGGGGACAGGGGGACAGAGCCAGCAGTGACCGTGGCTGCCTCTCCTCTTGCAGAACAAGAAGAAGGAGAAGAAGTGAAGCGGCTCCGGGCCGAGGCGGAGCCGTCCCCGTGTCCCCATGTCCCCTCCTGTCCCTCCCTGTCATTAAAGGGGCTGCGCTTTGCTGCTGAGGAAGCAGCCGGAAGCTTTCGCACCTCGTGGGTTTTTCTCTCGTTCGGCTTTTCTTTTTTTTTTTTTTTTTTTTTTTTTGGATTAAAAAATGGCCAATTTGTGGGTCCTGCTGGAGTTTGGCTCCCCCACAGCCCCCCCCCCCGGCCCGTGGCCCTCAGGGGGGTCACCCTCGTGTCCCCTTTCCGTGGAGGTTTGTCCCCCGGCCCCGCTGGCTCCCAGAACGTTGTCCCGCCCCGAGAAGCCGTGAGCCCCCCAAAACCAGCCGTGGGGGGGTTGGTGGGACCCCCCTCAGCCAAACTCAGCGGCGGAGCCTCCCCCTTTAGCACCAGTGCCAAGAAGTGAACCCGTGCTGGGAGGGGCCACGGGGACGTCGCGATTCCCAGCGCTCCCAAGTCCCGCCGTCTCCGCTCTTTGTACACCGGGATGATTCAATAAACCGCTCAGACTCCAAAGTCTCGGCCCCCTCCCTCCATCTCCCGTGTCCGTCTGTCCCTCCCTCCGTCCCCACGCAGGGACACAGCGGCTGCACCGTCACGTATATAAATAACCCGAGGGGAGGGGGCAGCTTTATTGAGTTAAAAACCCATCGGTGGGGGCTGTACAGGGCCATAGCACCATCGGAGAGAGCCAGGAGAAAGGGGGGGGGGGCTGGGGAAAGCGGGACCCCCCAGTCCAGGCATCACCCCCAGAGCGGGAGCGGGAGCAGCAGGGAGGGGGTGGAAGACGCGGGAGCGCGGCCGGGGGGGGCTCAGCCCTGGCTGCCGCAGGAGGAGAGGCTGTCGTAGAGCGAGTCGCTGAGGGACTCAGAGTGTTCCAGCCCGGGGGGGCCGTGCCCCCCGTCCCGGGACCGGGCCTCTGTGCTGCCCTCGTCCCCCACGTCTGAGGCGCTGGGGGTCCGGCTGCTGCTGGCGCTCAGGGCGGGGGGCAGCGGCGGGGGGGCCTCGGGGGACGCCCCTCGATGCCTGGTTGGGCTGCACACGGGCGCCTGGGGAGGGACAGGGTGGGCAGGGGGGGCTGCCCGTGCCCCCCACTCCCCACCAGTGCTCACCACACCCACAGCCATCTCCTTATTGTGGGAGGAAACCTCCATCCCCCCAAAATGTTACAGGGCCTTGTCACCCCCAATGAGATGTGAGGACATGGCAAAGGACCCCAGAGCTCCAATGAGTCCCCCCTGTCCACTCCCCGTGGCCCCTCGTGGTTTCTCCGTCCCCACAGTGAGGGTAGGAAGGTCTGGGGTCCCCATGCCCGGGTTTCAGAGACCTGCTCCAGAGTTTTAGGGTCCCCACAGCAGTGTTTTAGGGTCCCCATGCCAGGGTTTCAGGGGTCCCACAGCCCCCTGTACCTGCACGGGCCGGTGCAGCCCCTCCAGCCCCCCAGAGGGGCACAGGAAGGGGTCGGCAGCACCGCAGGCTTTGGCGTTGGGGAAGGTCCAGTTCTTGCTCTGCTGGACACGCCGCGGCTTCCCGGTGTCATCCCCGGTGTCTGCGGGACGAGGAGGGTCAGCGCTGGCACCCCCCATGGTGGGGGGTCCAAGCGTGGGGCACACACCTGGCCCGAGGGGACACCCACCTTGGGGCGCGGCGCGGTGCCCGTGCGGGCCGGGGGGGGCCGGGGGGCGGCCCCCGGGGGCGCTCCGGTGTTTGGGGGGCACCAGCAGCTCCTCTGCGCTGGGCACCTCCCGCTCCAGCGTCCGGGCCTTGCGCGGCACTTTGGTGGCGGCGGCGGGCACGGCTCCGGGCAGCGCCTCGGGGCGGCCCCGCGGTTTGGGGGTGCTCTTGGCTGGGACCCCCCCGTAGTCGGGGGGCGGGAAGGTCCCGATCCCGCTGTCCAGCGTCCTCGTCAGCGACCCACAGGCTGTGGTACCAGGGGAGTGGTCAGTGCCGGGCTAGGGGGGCCCACCCTGGTGCCCCCTCCCCACCATAACCCCCCTGTCACCCCCTCACCGGCGAAGTGCTGCGATGTCCCCGACTCGGACAAGCTCTCGTCCGAGGGCAGCTCGTCCCGGAGCCCCACGTCCGGCACCTGCAGGGGCACGGAGGGTGAGGGGTCAGGGGTCCCCCCCAGAGAGGGGCCTGGGGGCTGGGGGGAGATCCTCACCTTGTCCGGGGGCTCCCTCAGGTGCCCCACGATGCCGTTGCGGGGCGGGCGGCACAGCCGGGGGTCTTTGGCGTCGGGGGGGACCCTCCGGAGGTCACAGAGCTCCCGCTTGTGCTCCAGGCGGGTCTCGTAGGGAACGTCCTTCCCGTCCACCCTGTGGGGGAACAACCCATCAGGACAGGCCACGCTCACCCCCACCCCCAGGGGACCAGGGGGGCGCTCACCTGTCCAGCAGCTGCTGCATGAAGGTCTCGGCCGTCACCTCCTGGTACATGACGGGGAGGGGGCCGGGGCCGCGGGGGGGCCCGCGGGGTCTGCCCTTCTCCAGCGCCAGCCCCTGCAGGAAGGCGTGTTCCTCCCGCAGCGCCTTCCGCAGGTCCTCCGCCTTCTCCATCAGCTTCGAGATGTTGAGGCTCTCGGCCTCCAGCTTGCGGGCGGCCAACTTGACCTCCCTGCGCAGCGGGGCGGGGGTCCCGGCCCACTCGCGCCCGCGCCCGCCGTCCCCACGCCGGCTGAGCGCGGGCAGTTTGCTGCGCCGCAGCCCGAACCAGCTCGCCAGCCCGGCCTTGCCCTTGGCCTCGGCGCCCGGCGCCCGCTCCTGCCCCTGCAGCCGCAGCACGTTCTCCTCGATGCCCTTCATCACCTTCTCCTCGATGGCCGAGTGCCCCGCGGCGCCCGGGGCCGGTCCCGTGGGCTCGGGGGCCGCGGGGGGTTTGTGGGGGCCCCCGCCCGCCTTGGCGCCCGAAGGCTCCTCGCCCCGCGGCGCCCCGGCTTTGCCGGCGCCCGCCTTGGTGGGCAGCTTGGTGGGGCTGCCGTGGGGGCTGCGGGAGGACTTGGCGGGGGGCGCCGGGGGGGCCCGCGGGGGGGTCCTGCCTGTGGCCACGCGCCCCTTGCCCCCCGCCTTGCCGGGGTCGCCCATGGAGCCGGAGGAGTAGCAGCGGGCCAGGGGCTCAGTGCCGTGCGCCGGCTCGGGGTGCTTGAGGCTGCCCCCCATGCCCGCCCGGGGTGGGGGGCGCGGCTCGGCCCCGTGGCCCCGCTCAGGCCGCCCCGGGCCGGGGGGTTCTCGGCCCTCAGCCCCCCGCAGCTTGCCCAGGGCCGCCAGGCGCTCCTTGAAGGGCAGGTAGCCCGGCTCGGGGGGCTTCTTGCCGGGGCGGCGGGAGGGGGCCGAGCCCCCCGTGCCGCGGCGGGAGCTGGGGGGGGAGGCGGCCGCCCGCTCGGCACCGGTCGGGGGTCCCGGGGGCCCGGGGAGCTGCTCGGCCTCCTCGAAGGTGCGGGGTAGGGGGAAGGACGGGGGCTCGGGGGAGCCAGGCTCCGGGGGGGCGTCGGGGGAGGCGCGGCGGCTGAGCCCCGGCGAGGCCTCGGGGTGGGCACCGCGACACGGGATCTTGGAGGAGTGGGCGACCTGGGGGCTGAGGCGCAGCCCCCCGGGTGGGGGGGGCAGCTTGAGCGCCTTGGCGGGGGAGGGAAGGGCGTTGGGGACCCCCCCGGGCGAGAGCGGGGTGAAGGCCCCCTCGGGGGTCTCCTCGCCCGGGGCGCAGAGCCCCAGGAACGCGGGGTGGTCCCCGTGCCGCTGCCGGGGGGGTCCCCCGGGGGCTTCGCCGTTGCGCCGGCAGCAGCCGCCCCCCTCGCCCCGCAGCAGCCGCTCGGCCAAGGCGCTGAGCAGAGCCCCCCGTGGCGGCCCCCCTTCCTCCGGAGAGGAGCAGGGGCTGCCCTCAGCCCCCCGCCACCCCCCCGCAGCCCCCGGCCCCCGCAGCGGGCAGGGGGGCCAGCCCGGGGCTGCGCAGGGCTCGGGGGAGCCGGGGGAGGCCGGGGGGGGCCCCAGCAGCGGGTCCGTCTCCTCCAGCTTGCGCAGCACCTCCAGGATTTGGGCTTTTTTCTTGAAGAAGGGGGACAGGGCGTCCAAGGGGGGGGCGCCGGGGCTGAGCCCGGGGCTGCCCGACGGCACCGGCGGCAGCACCTGCGGGGGCCGGGCACCGTCACCCCCCGGGCACCAGGCAATGACCCCCCCGGCACCAGGGGACACCCTGGGAACACTGGCAGAATGGTGATGCCATGGGTACATGGGTGGGGACACCAAGGATCCAGGGAGGGGGATGGAGAGGATGCCGTGGGCCTCGGAAGTGGGGGGGGTCCCACAGGCTTAGGGACATCACATGCTGGGAAGAGGGAATGGGGAGGGGGCTCCACAGCCTGGAGAGGGGGACAGGGGGACTGGGGGGGTTGCAGACACAGATACCCACCTCGGGCAGGGGCACGCAGAGACTGGGGGGCAGTGGTGGGGGTGGCTGCTCTGCAGAGCACGGCTGGGGCATGACCGGGGTGTCCGGGGGCACCAGCACCGGGTGCAGCGGCAGCTGGAGAGGAGGGAGACGGCGGGTTAAGCTCTTGGGGGGCTCTGCCCTGTGGGCCCCCCAGCTCCAACGAGGCTCTGGGCACACCTGGGGCAGGGACCCGGTGGAGAGCTGCAGCTTCTGCTGGAACAGGTCGCTCAGCGCCTGGTTCTGCCGCTCCAGCTCGAACACCCGTTTCTTCAGCTTGATGCACTCCTCACGCAGGTCCTGGCCAGGGAGGGGTGGTGAAGGGTTAGAAAAGACCTCTCAGACTCTCTACATCCTCCCCAGACCCCCAACATTCCCCTCAGACCCACAACACCCTCCCCGGCCCTCCTGACACCCACCTTTTGGTTGAGCAGTGCCTGCACCACGTGGTTGGCAACCTGGGGAGCAGAGAGGGGTTTGGGTGGGGTGGGAGGGCACACACAGCCCCGTGCCCTGGCACAGACGTGTGCACACGTGTCCAACGTGTTTGTGTGTGTGTGTGTGTCCCTGTACCTCATCCAGGCAGCGCTCGTACGTCTCCCTCTGGTTCTCGTTGGCCTGGGCCAGGGCCGAGTTCTCCGCCTGGGACAGAGCAGGGACAGCTCAGGGGATGCAGTGGAGGGGCTCAGGCACCTGGACCCCCCCCCATCATGGCACCAAGGGGACCCCTATTCTTTCTGGTGGGACCCCGGGCAACTCATGAAGGGGCAGAGCTGACCCTGGAGCGGTGGCACATGAGGGCCATGGAAAGTGCTGCCCATCACCACGGTGTCCAGGCTACGGGCTCCATGGCAGGCTCTTGGCACCAGCTGCATGGTGGCCATGGTTTCATGGTGGCCGTGGCTGCCTGCTGGCACCAGCCATGGCGGCCTGGTGGTCCCATGCCCCGGTGGTCCCATCCCTGTGTACCTCCAGCTCCCGCAGCCGCTGCAGCAGCTCATGGCTGGTGCCCGTCTCGCCCAGGGCCGCGGGGCTCCCGGTTCCCGGCGCCTCAGCCACGCTCTCCGACATCGCTGCTGCAGGGGACACGTGTCAGGAGGGTCCCTGCTGGCCCTGGTCAGTGTGCCCCGGCCCGTGGCACCCCCAGGCCCTCCACAGCTCAGCCCCCCCTTACCTGGCTCGGGACGTTCCCAGCCCCGTCCCTCCGTGGTGTCACCTGCCGGGAGAAGGGGGTTGAGGGAGGGGACGAGGCCTCAGGAGACCCCCAGGGCCGAGTCCTGACCCCACCGGCACTGGGAGCCACAGGGAGCCCTCCTGCCACCCAGTCCCTTCCTGGGGGTGCGAGGGCCCTGGGCCGGCACCGGAATGTACAGCACCCCCGGGACCGGGACCAGGATCGGGATCAGCCCCGGGGCACCGGGATGCGCAGTGCCCCCGAGACCGGCTCCGGCCCCGCCACCGGGGCACAGGGATGCGCAGCACCACGGGCACCGGGATCAGCACCGGCCCCGGGGCACCGGAACGTGCGGCACACCCGGGGTTGACCCCGGCGGCCCCGGGGCTACCGCGATGCGCAGACCCGGTTCACAGAATCCCCGGCGTGCAGACGGGCCCCCCTCCCGGTACCGCACACCCCGCGCTCCCCCCGGGGCTCCCCCCGCGCCGCCGGTGCCGCCGCCGCCCCGCGCTGAGCCCCGGCCCCGGCCCCGGCCCCGCACTCACGCCCGGTGTTCCCGGTGGCGCCGCCCGTCCCGGCTCAGCGCGGCCCCGGGGCCGGTCCCGGCGGCGGCAGCGGCTCCATCCCGGCCCGGCCCGGCCGCGCTATTGTTGGGAGGCGGCGGCGGCGGCTCCGCCTTCCCGCCGCGGCCGGGGAGGAGCCGGGGATGAGCCGCCACCGCCCCCGGTGCGCGGCTCCGCCAGCGCCAGCCCCGGGGAACCGGCGCGGGGACCCCCGGCACAGCGGGCACCGTCCCGGCAGAGGAAGCACCGGGAATCCCCCCCCTGCGGCACCGGGCACGGCCGGCGGGGACAGGGCATCCCACGGAGGGACACCCCCACGGGGCACCCCGCGCTCTCGGGAGGGACCTCCCGGAGCCGGGGACCCCTCGGGGAGCCCCCCCGGGGATGCAGGAGGAGCCGGGCCGTGAACCCCGGACGTGGCCGCCAACCCTCCACCCCACGAGGGTGAGGTTTGGGGGGGGTTCAGGGTTCACACGAGGCCACGCGGCCCCGGCTCACCCGGACCCCACGGCACCGCGGCGTGGGGGCTCGGCAGGACAAGGGGGGCCGGAGGGGACAAGAGGAGAGTCTGGGGGGAGGTGATGGAGGGGACAAGAAGATGATCTGGGGGTGATGGACGGGACAGGAAGAGGGTCTGGGAGGGCACGGTCACACTTCTCACGTGCTGTCCCTGTCCCCTGCAGCCCGCAGGGTGATCCCATGCGGGTCCCCGTGGTCCCCATTGTCCCCGAGGTGCCCGTGGGCCCCTCGCCCGCCCCCCGCGCAGGAAGCGGCCCCGGGGCCGGCGGCTCCGGCTGCGTCACGGGGGGAAGTGAGGCTCCGTCTGGAGGGGAAGAGCAGCCCGCGGCCCCCCCAAGCCCCCGGCGGGGACAGCCGGGGGGGCCCCGACAGATGGACGGCGAGGCCATCCCCTCCCCCAGCGTGGGGCCCCGCGGGGGCAGCGCGAGGGTCCCTGTGGGGAGGGGGACATGGCACTGGCACAGCCGAGGGCACCCTGAGCTCAGGTCCCCTGCCCGGTGTCACCCCCCGGCCACCCCCCTCCCGGTCACTCGTCCCCACTGCCCCGGGCACTGTGGGGACACGGTGTGGGGACAGGGCACGTGCCCAAACCGCGGCCAAGGACGCGCCAGCGTGGCCGTGACGGGCTGGCCCTGGGCTACCCCACACCAGGGTCTCCACCCCGAGCCAAGGGACACGGGGTGACAGCCCTGAGTGTCCCCAGCCCTTCTGGGCTGCTTTGGGGACAGCCCAGGGACGTGGGGTGACAGCCCTGAGTGTCCCCAGCCCTGCTGTGCAGCTCTGGGGGCAGCCAGGACGCACTGGGGACAGCCCGGGGACAGCCAGGATGCAGCAGGGACAGCAAGGACACCCTGGGGACAGCCGGGATACACCGGGGACAAGTGGGATGTGCTAGAGATACAGCCTCGGGGTGCAGGGACACATCGAGGACAGCTGGCACTCGCCAGGGACACGCAGGGACAGCCAGGGATGCGGTGGCAGCACTGGGGACAGTCAGGGATGCGGTGGGGACAGCAGGGACACACACAGGGGTGTATTAGGGACAGTGGGGACCAGCGGGTGGGATGGAGAACAGTGGGGGACACCTTGGGGACAACGGGGATGCACTGGGGACATACCAGGAACAGCCAGGATGCACCGGGGACACCCCAGGGAAAGTCAGGGTACAGTGGGGACACTGGGGACATAACAGGGATCGTGAGGATGCACTGGGAACACCCCAGGGACAGCCAGGGTGCAGTGGGGACACTGGGGACACCCCAGGGGAAGTCAGGATGCACTGGGGACACCCCAGCATGCACTGGGGACAGTGGGGACCAGCGGGGAGAGCCGAGGACACAATCGGGATGCGCCGGGGGCCACCGGGGACACGCGGGGGGCTCCGACCGGGCCACCCTGCGCCGCTTCCCCGGGGGCGCTCCCCAACCCCCCCACGGCACGTCCCGGTGCCCGGAGGCCACGGCCCCCCCCCCACCGGTGCCCCGAGGAGCGACCGGAAGCCCCCCGGGCCCCCCGCCCGCCCCCCGCCGCGGCTCGAGCGGACTCACCGGGGGCTACGGCGGGGTCGGGGCGGCATGGCCGGGGCTGGGACCGGGGCTGGGACCGGGACCGGGGCGGGACCGGGGCCGGGGCGGGACCGGCGGCGGCGGTGACGTCATGGCTCCACCGGGCCGGCCCCGCCCTGCGCCCCCGCCGCCGCCAATCCGCGCCCGGGGGCGGCGGGGGGGTCCCGGTGCCGCCGCCGCATCCGCGCCCCCTCCCGCCACCCCCGGGGCTGCTCGAGACGGGCCCGGTGCCCCCCTTCCCCCCGCCGGGATTCGGTACCGAGCGACCAGACTGGGACCAGCCGCGTCCCACGGACACCCCCCCCGCGTGTCCCCCCCACCGCTGCAGCCGCCGAGCTCCGGGGTCGTGGGTGAAGGGCCTGAAATAAGGGAGTGACCCCCGAAGGCCCCCCCGGCAGCAGGACTGGCGGTCTGGAAGCAGCGTGGTCCCATCCCCCTGGGAGGTCACTCATCCCTCCCCTCTGGAGCATCCCCGAACCCCCCCTGGACGCCCCCCAGCCCTCAGCTCATCACCAAGACACAGGGACACCAAGAGCCCACCTCCATCGTTTTATTGTGGGGGAATCTCCATCCCCCCCAAATGTTACAGGGCCACGTCAACCCCCCCCCCGGGGGCACACGAGGACGTGGCAAAGGATCCCAAAACTCCGGTGAGTCCCTCAATGTCTCCCAGAGACCCCCTGTGGCTCCTCCATTCCCACAGCAAGGCCGGGTCTGGGGTCCCCATGCCAGGGTTTTAGGGGCCCCACACTCCGTGGTTTTGGAATCGCATCAGCAGAGGAACCAGAGCTGTGGCTCATCCTGGCACTGAGCCAGGACATGAGCGCCTGTGGGTCCCCCCACGTCCCACAGCAAGGGTCCCACGGGAGCAGAGATGCAGCTGGTGCCGGGCTCAGCTCACAGCCCCCGGCTCCAGGCTCCCGTTGGCAGCAGCTCCCCGGGCCGAGGCCGATTCCTCCGGCCGCTGGTCATCCTGGGGCCCCGTCCGGCCCGGGAGGTGACCCTGCTGGGGACACAACAGGGACACTGAGCTGGCTGCGGCGGGACACGGTCAGACCGGCCTGGGCTGGTGTCACTCCCACACGAATTGGCTGCCCCACGGCACGGGAACACCAACAGACCGGGAGACACTTCCTCTGGGCTCCTGTTTGAAACCAACGGCTACGGCAAACCGGGGGTCTTCAGTCAGAGCCTGGGCTGGGACCCCCCCACCCCAAAATTCGGCTCCCCACCCAGGGAGGGCTGACAGGGGAGGCAGGACGAAGTGACATCTCCAAAGAGGACACGCTGTGGGGTCACCCCAAGGAAGCCCCAGGCCCTGGGTGGGACACGAGAGGAGCAAATTCAAGTTGCTCCAGTGAAAAATGCAACTCCAAAGGAGAAAACAGAACCTTTGGCCTGGGAAGCCGCTCCCCTAAAAAACCCCAGCTGGGATTAAGAGGCTCCCACAGTGGGAAGCCCCCACGGCCACACATCCCCAGCGTCCCAGACATCTCCCAGGACACCCATGGAGCCATCCCGGGGGCCGCCCTCGTCCCAGGGCTCCTAATGGCATCCAGACACCGCTGCGTGGGAGAGGAGCCCCCCGGGCACACACAGGGGGTGGTTCTCCCACTGGGAAAGCACATCCCGGGGGGGCTGCGGCCCCACCAGGCCCTACCTGCGCAGGGGGCTCGGCCAGGGGGCCGAGGGGGGCCGAGGAGCTGCCCCTGTCCGGCTCCTCCAGCGCCAGGATGTCGATGGGAGCCTCGGCCACGTCCCGCAGGGACGGCTCGAGGGTCACGGAAGGGTCGAAGAGCAGAGGGGATGGGGGGCACTGCATTCCATCGCCCACCACGTCCAGGTCCTGGGGGAGGGGGGGAAGAGCGAAGGGGCTCGTCAGGAAAGGTCTGAGGAGACACAGATCCTCACAGCCCTTCTCTGCCACCCCTGGAGCAGCAGGGGAGGAGGAGGAGGAGTGGGCATCGTGCCAGCAGGACCCCCAGCCGGCAGCTGGAACACACCACAGGAGCCTCCTCCTCCTCCTCCTCCTCCTCCTGGAATGGAGCCAGCACTGCCAAGGATAAGGTGTCGGGACACACAGTCTGGAGCCCAGCGGGATGTGTTGTCCCAGGAGTGCCCTCTTGGGGACCCCCGGAGCGGCCCCCCCCTCTCCAGGATGTCACCCCCCCCCCCACCTGCCCTGACACCACAGATGGGGACGGATGGGCTCCGAGGACTCCTCCATCTGCCCTCCCTGCAGAGGGGAGAGGGTGGGATTTGGGAGAGGCTGGGATTTGTTTTGGCTCCAGAGGGAGTTTGACACGAGGGCGAGATTCCTGTGACTCACGAGTGGCACCTCCCCAGACTGGCACAATGTGAGACACAACACAGATGCCCCCTGGCAGCCACGGCTCGGGAGCCCAGCACGGGGAAAACACTCCCGTTTTTCCTTTCTAACCCCAAAAAATCCACCTCCTGTTTGCACGGGAAGGGGCTGGGATTCGATCCGAGCTCCCCCCAGCCTGACCCCATTTGCTCTCCCAGCTCCTGCCACCCCTGGGGCTCTGCAGCTGCTGGAATCCCTCCTCCAGCAGCAAACTCCAGAGCGGATCCGAGGTTTGCCTCCAACAGCAGCGCTCAGGAATCTCGGGAGCATCCAGAGCCCGAGGTGACACCTCGCTCAGAGGAGCAGCTCCCACGGATTGGGGTGGTTTTGTTCTGGTTAAACAAATTTCCCAGGATTTTAAGTGTGTTGGCTTAAATGCAGGATGCCAGAATAATCTGGGGATTAAAATCCTCCTGGTTTTCCTCATGGAAGAGAAAACGGGGGGGAAATAAAAAAAATCCTCCTCTTAAGAGGCCCCTACAGGGATTTAAACGAGCACAGCCCTTCCAAAGGAGCAGCCACCAACCCTGTGAAACAGCTCCCAAACTTTCCCCACTCCTGCCCTTTCACAGAATCCCAGAAATGTTTGGGCTGGGAGAGACCTTAAAGTTCATTCAGTGCCACCCCCCTGCCATGGGCAGGAACACCTTTCACCAGCTCAGGCTGCTCCAATGTGGCCTTGGACATCCCAGGGATGGGGCAGCCACAGTTGCTCTGGGCAATCTGTGCCAGGCCCTCCCAACCCTCACAGGGAGGAATTCCTTCCCAATATCCCACCTCACCCTGCCCTCTGGCAGCAGGAAACCATTCCCCCTCATCCTGGCACTCCAGGCCCTCGTCCCAAAGTCCCTCTCCAGCTCTCCTGGAGCCCCTTCAGGCCCCACTTACATCGCTGAACTCCAGGGGCAAGCTCTCGGAGGGCTGGAGCTCGGCCGCGCTCAGGTAGAGCTCGGAGGGAGCAGCTCCCAGCTCCTGGGGCACAGCCAGGCCCTGCTCGGGGATGTACATCTGGGGGGGCAGGCGCAGGTGGAGGGGGCAGCACGGCTCCTCCGACAGGCTCACGGGCACGGGCTTGTTGCAGGGCACCTCCTCGGAGCCCTGGCACGGCTTGAACAGCGTCTGGTTCGTGTCCTGGCAGATATCTGGGAAGAGCTGGTCAAGGGAAAGCGGCCCAGGTGCAGCCAGACACGCACCCAGGGAGGGGGCAAGACTCCCAAAGCCTCCCCTTTCATCTCTCCCTGATGAAGATCCACACCCCAGAGCTCCATCCCGACTGCCCAGGGATGTGGGTGACGTTATTTCCATGACGGAAAACTGGGACAACAGCCACAGCCTCCCCGTGGGGGCTGGGAGATGGTGGCTGGATCCCTGTTAAAGCCACTCACAGATCCTCGTGTGGATGTCACAAAGGCACGGGATTAACTTTTGTTTGCAGATATCCAGGGGGAAGGATCAGCCCCAGCCCCACACTCAGGGACATCCCAGCACACACAATGCCTCTCCCACAGCCAGGAGTTCAGTTCCGGCATTTCTACCTTCCCAGTGCATTTTCCTTCCCAGTGGAAAACCTGTTCCTGCCAGAGGTGTAAATGGGATTTCCTGCCTTTAATCACAAACAGAAGCTCTGCTCTGATTGTGTCGCGCTTGCGGAGCGATCCAGCGGCAGAGGAGCCACGGATCAAACCCCATCCTGCTCTGATCCCGTCCTCCTCCAACCCCATCCTGCTGATCCCATCCTCCTCCGACCCCATCCTGCTGATCCCATCCTCTTCCGACCCCTACCTCCTCCAATCCTGTTTCTCTTCCGACTTCTTCCACTCCTTCTGACCCCTTACCCTCTTCTTCCAACTCCCTTCTTCCCCTTCCACCCCTTTCTCTTTTGATCCCTTCCTGGTTTTCCACCCCCTTTCTCCTCTTCCCATCCCCACCCTTTTCTTCCAACCCCACCTTCACCCTCCTCAGACCCCCTTCCAATCTCAGCTGCTCTCCAGCTTTGGGGGCTTCATTCTGCAGTTTCCCCCCTCAAACCCCACAGCGTGGGGAAGGAAAAAAACACCTCAAACCCACATAAACTGGGAAAAGGCGCCAAGTTTAACCCAGTTCCTTAAGCTGCCAAGGCCTGAGGTTCATCCTTCCCTCCTCCCTGAGCAGGGATTTCTCATGGATCCACTTCCTAATGGGTTGTTGTAGGGGAGCCCTAATCCAGGCTGGCAGCAATCAGAGCCTATCCCAGTGCAGATGGATCTGAGCCACCCCAGGGCAGGGGTGGGGAGGAACAGGGTGGGGAAGGCAGGTTTTCACCTCCTGGAGTGACTCCCAGCTCCAGCACCGACTGCACCGGCAGCCAAAAGCAGGGACGGCCGGGATGCCAAAAATCCCAGGCTGGCCCACCTGGAGCCTCTCCCCATCCCCTGAGTGCCCTGTGACAAACAGCCCAGCTCCTGGGAGCACAGAGAGAAGCCGTGGCTGCAGATGTTGGAGGATGCAGATGTTATCGGCCGCCCGAGGAAAGGCTTGTTTGTGTCGGGGGAGTCAGCTGAGAGCTCCTCCCCGCTCTCCCCAGCACCAGCTGCCAGCAGCAGCTTCTCTGGCTGTTTTATGGGATTTATCCTGTATTTATTTTGAGGCATAGGGTGGTTAGAGAGAAACAAAGGCAGCTTCCAGCTCCTGCTCCCCGTGCAGGGGGTGGAGCTGAGCCGGTCAACTCTGGGGACAAAACAAACCCAGGGGCTCCCAAAAACCCACAAATCCAGACTTTCTCATAGACCCACGAGCTCTCATAGATCCAAAAGAGTGGATGGAGCAGATGCACTCAGGGCAACGCTGGGGCCGTGGATCTCCCCCATGTTGGGGGGTGATCCCTAAGCTGAGACAGCTTTGGGAACTGGAACAGCTCAAAGCTGAAAGGTTGAAAGAACCTTTCAAGGGACCAAGCTGGGCCGTGGCAGCTCTAAAGAGGCCCAGAACTGCCCCTCCAGATCCTCCCCAAAATCCCCAAGGACACACTC